TTCTCCTATTCATTCCACAATTTTCATCACAAAAGCAGGAACGAACCCCAGTAAAGAGATGGGGGAAAAAAAAAATAAATCAGATAGCATTGCCCACAGTGCTCACCCAGTTCCAACCCCCTGCTGTGTGCAGGTCGCCAACCAGCAGCCCAGGCTGCCCAGAGCCACATCCAGCCTGGCCTTGAATGCCTGCAGGGATGGGGCATCCACAGCCTCCTTGGGCAACCTGTTCCAGTGCCTCACCACCCTCTGGCTGAAAACTTCCTCCTCATATCCAACCTACACCTGCCCTGTCTCAGTTAAATCAGGAGCTCAGAAGCAGAAAGCTGGCTGATGTAATGCCTCCTAAATCCAAGACCGTTCCTCATGCTTGGCTGTGGATTGCCTGGCTGAAGAGCATCTGTGAAGATGGTTTGGGAACAGAGTAGAATGTTCTATCCTTCAGGTGTTGTGCTGTGGTACCAACTATCAGGGTGATTTTATAAAATCTGTGTACTAGATTAATCTTACTGTAACTGGTTTCTTTCTTTTGTATAAGTTGTGTATGCTTTATAGAAGTAAAATGAGTAATGATTTAAAAAAAAATAATTAGAAGTAATAATTGTAAATATGTTAATACATCTTTGGAAAATGCTTTCTTATGCAAGGATACCTACCTGTGTAAATATAGTGGTGTTATTTCATTGCTTTAATCAGAGAGAGGCAGCCAAGTGTGTTTTATTTATGGTGAGTCTCAAAAGTATTTATTTTCAGGCCATTACTTCTTGCTTGCAACACAGCAATATGTCACAGTGTTTTCCAAGGCATGCATTGCATCTGTGCTCAAGTGCATTTTTGCTTAGAAAAATCATAAATTCTAGTTGTTACAGTGTGCTGGGGTATATAGATTTAAGTAATTGTTGCTCTGGGGTCAATATTTCAGCTTCCGTTTGTGTTGGAAAGGGGAATAACTCTGCCTGTTTAGACGAGGATTTATCACTTCAGTTAATGTTAATTTCACAAGAGGCTGGAGAGCCTTGCCAGCAAATAAAATAGCTAAAAACATTATTTTTCTTTAAGCCAGAAGGCATTTAATTAAGAAAAAAAAAAAACTTAATAGCAAAGCAGAGTGCATTGATGTAGCAGGTGTTTTGTGTATGAGCATAGCCACGCTGCTCAGCAATTACATCGCAGCTTTGATCAACATTTGTAATACAAAACTGTTGATGAAAACCAGTGGGAGATGCCACATAGTGCCATTCGCTGTGAATGAGATGTGCTGCTGTGGGAATTGGCCTTCTGATGTGTTTCAATGCCATTGTGACTCTTGGTTGGTATCAGGAGATCAGAGTGACATTGCTGCTGTAACATAGCAGGGGATCTTTCTGATTGCTTTTGACCAGTGACAGAGCTGGATTATCTCTAACCGAGTTCAGTTTTAGGCAAAAAGTAATATATATTTTTTTGTAACTACATAGGTTGTGATCTGCAAAACATCAGTCGTGTTTTATAGCATTAACCAGCTCTTTAAGGTTAAGTGGCAGTGTGGGATAGCAAGCAGAGGAGCACACTTGGACGTACACTGAGAAATGCATTTGCTGCACACTTGGTCAGTGAAGTGGCAGTTAACAAAATCTGTTGAAACAAAGCTTCTATGTACTTTGCTGGAGTGTGTTTTGCAAGGCACGAGGAGGATGCATTGATTTTCCAACATGCCCGAGTGCATCTGAGCATTTGGTGCTCTTTTCAGCAGAAGCCCTGTTGCCAAAGGGTGGAATGCTTCTGGGCTGCCACAGCTGACGTGGGGGCAGCCCCCAGATGTGGGTAAAAGTTGGAATTATGCTTTGTGTTTAGCAAAGTGTTGTAATTTGGTGTCCTGGCAGGGAGTTCCAGTTTAGCTCCTCCTTGTCTTCGGTGTGCAAAATGTATTCAAAAAGCATGTGCAGCACTAAGCAAGGAAAAGGTTGTCAGCCTTAACTGAAGCGGATCCTCTTGCCTTTCCCCCATCTCAAATGGGAAGGACGCTGTGCTGTATGTAAACCTTTGCCATGTTGTTGGACTACAGACTAGGAGATAAGAAGTGCAATCAAACCAGGCTTTAAAAATGGAGATGTTGATTAGCTGCATTTCTTGGCTGCTTGGTCACGCCATTGGGAACTGTTTTGAAACCCTTGTGTCAAAGGATGTTCCTCCCCTCCCCTCCCTTCCCCTCCCCTTCCCTTCTCTTCCCTTCCCTCCCCAGAAAAGCATCAGTAATGGAAAATATTTTGACAGCCCACTTCTATTAAAATTTTGGTGCATCATAGAACTACAGCTCTGCATTTGTTCCTCTGGACACATCTGCCTTCAGCCTTCCTGCACAGCATAAATCCTGTTAGGGAGTTGAGTCTGCGCAGGGCAGCAGCTACGCTGGGAAATTAAGAATGAATTTTGCCAACACTTCCTCCTTTTCATCCGTACTGTCACCTCCTGTGGCAGTCTCATGGAAGAGCTTTGAGCAGCTCCTGTCCTGGTGTGGCAGCTCCCTGCTGTGTTGTTTTGAAGAGGTAAAGATGGACTTAATCTCAAGGCAGGAGTTTGACAGAGTTGTCTGTATGGGATGCCACAAAGTGCTGACACTGCTTTGGTGCAGACAGTTTTGCGCATCAAACGGAGGAGCTTAAGCGATTACTGTCTCAGGTGCTGGTGATCCAGGCTAAATGGTTGCATTTCTGTTAAGCAGAACAAGAGGATTCATACTCATAGAAAGTATCTCAGCTGGGGGGTTAAACTTCCCAAAGCACGACTGGATTGGTAGAAGTGCTGATGGGAGATTAATGTCACCCTGCGTTTGGTCATAGCAGTCATGAGAAGGAGGTTGGCTTTGAAAATAGGAAAAAAAAACCCACAAGGCTTCAAAGCAAAACTCTGATGGCTGTAACTGGGAAGCAGCTGCTGGAAGCTGCAAGTTGAAATGCTAATAAATCATCCTGTGTCTCACACTGACAACTCTTAAGCCTTCCATTCTGATATGTGAAGTTAACATTCTGACTTGTCAAGCACTGTTTTTATTAGTTTTCTTTGTGTTTAAAAGCACTGAATTGTCTTCCTTAGTGGTCTGGATGGTTGATCTCAGTGTGTGCAGAATTCCAAGGCAATAAAATTGTTCGTTTTCAGATCATATGCTGCTCGAACCAACCAGAGTTAACAGATGTCTTTCAGTTAACTTGGATGGTTTGGATCAGGCTCAAAGTGAAGCACACACAGAGCTCTGAAGCTCTTTGGAGAATGCAATGCACGCAGTTTTCCACTATATGAGGATTTAGGCACTTTTTAACAAAATTGAGAGGTGAAGTAATTAGCAGTGTTGGTAAGCATACATTGACATACTTTAAAAGCAGTATCAAGAGAAACGCATTGCACCTGGATGCACTGAATTATCTGATAAGAGCTCCATTAGCAGCCGTAACAGGAACACATTCTTTCTGCTTTTTTTTTTCAAGGATGCGAGATACTGCAAGAAAAATAGAAGAAAAGTATTTTTCCAATCTTGCAACACACGTTGAATTTCTTCCAGTTGAATGGAGGTCAAAGCTTACCCTCGATGGAGGTAAACTATTTGGTTCTTTGGTTGTTCAGTAGCTGCAGTCTGCAAAACTGCCCCCAGAAGTTTTGTGCTGTATTCTTTGCCTGTGCCTTGTTTGGATTTTATCCTTTTCCTGCGTGTAACTCAAGTCTTTTCTTTCAGACACTGTGGACTCCATTACTCCAGACAAAGTACGGGGTTTGAGGGACATGCTAAACAGCAGTGCCATGGATATCATGTATTATACAAGTCCTCTTTATAGAGATGAAGTAAGTGGATTTTATCTAAATTTTACTAGAGCAAGGCAGAGAGGCTGAAATAAACTGGATTTACTGTTAGTAAAGTTTCCTTCTGAGACCCTGAACTGATTAAAGTCTTGCTAAAGGAGCAGGAGCTGAAATGCATTTTATTTAGATTAAACAAAGTAAGGTGTCAGTGCCACAGCAAGCAGCATTGCCTTTGTCATGTCCTACTAGTCCTTACCTCTTGTATCAGTGACTGCATGCAGCATGCCAGGGTCAGGGATTCCCACTGTCAAGTTGTTGTTACATATCTATCACCTGGATTTAACAGCGTTCATCCTGGGATTTGAAAGAGGAACAGCCAGGCTGCTATGCCAGATGGGCAATAGAAGTGTCTTTTGGTATTCTGCAGTAGAAAATAAGAAATGTTACCATGTGTGCAAGCGTATAACATATGAGGATGCTATTTAATATCCTGAGAATTAATCAGCTTTTAAATCTCCTGAGAGACATTTTACCTCTGAAAGAGCAGGGATTCTGGGTTCTCCCTGTCAGTGAATGTGTAAAGTGTCTGGAAAACATCCAGCATGAGGATCCTCATCCCTGCTGTTTAGGGACTCTAAGTTTGGTATGTATTTTAGAGAAATTAAATGAAAAGCTGATGTTTGCACTTCAAGTAATCAAAATACAGAGTTTTAATGGGCGAAAAGTAGAAAAACAACGACTATAATCAGTGTGGTTTTAGAGCAGAAATGATTGTCTAAAATGGGTCTTTATCAGCAGATTAGAAACAGAAGGGTTTTTCACAGCTTTTTCATGCATCTGTGTGTTCTGAGCTAAGGAGCTCCTTTAAGGTGAGATCCTTCTTACCTGCAACAAAATCCTTGGACACGTGCTATTTCACTTTGTTCACATCTAAAGTCAGATGGGCCAGCAGCATCTTTAAACAAACCAGTTTTAATGGAGGTGTACGCTTGCCTTGCAAGAAAGGCAGGACCCCACTCAGCCACCTGTTTGTCGGTGGCTGTTTGTATCCTGGAATTTGCTGTCTTGTCTTCCTATGTCTCAGTAGGCACACGTGCTTTAGTCTGTTCAGATGTAGTGTGGCCCCATTCAATGGAAAAGCCTCAAAGGTAAAAAAAAAAAAAAAAAATTAAAAAAAAATACCCCAAAGATAAAGTACCCCAAGAGCATCCTTTGTCACACATCCTGGAAAAGCTCCACGGGGATGTTTTATGATTAGTTTCAGTAGGAATTCTAGCTTTTCTTACACTGACTGTGTTATAAATGAAGTAATTCTGATCTATTTGCAGCTTTCATGCCCAACCTGCATGGTCTGAGTGGAGGTGAGAGGTGGACGAATACTTTCAAAGCTTACTTGAGGCTTTGATGCTACCTTTCATTAAAATATGTTTAAGTACTTCAGACTGTTGACGTAATTACCAAACCTAAAACTCCTAGTAATACTGATTTTCCTTATAGCAGCCACAGCTGTGAAATTGCTGTGAGCCTTTTAAGCTTCCAGTGCTAGAAATAAGCATACTGAAAGCTGTGCTCTTGTTGCTCAGTAATGCAAAGTTTATTGTTCAGGGCTTCTGGGTTCTCAGCTGTGTATCAGGTTTCTTTGTTGTGGAACTGAGAGCAGCCTGAGCTGCTGTAGCAAGTGAAGAAAACTTCTCTGGCAGCTCGAAAATAGATTTTTAAAGTGCATTAGAGGCTCAGCATGTCTGTGGATGTCTTTTGGGCAGTGAATTAGCTAGCAAAGGTTAGGTATGCAGGCCAACAGTGCATGAAAAATTTAATTTGTTGCTCAGTAGAGCTGTAGTTTTACAGGTATATCGCATCCCTGAGGTATGAGAATTGGCAAATACAATGAGTGTACTGTGGCTGTGCTTAGATCTGATTACAGAAGTTGTTTTCTTCACTTAATCAAGTGAATTTTCCTGAAATGTTTGCAACAATGCACATGAAACTGCCATTACCCTGCCTTATTCAGACTGCACCAATAAATCTTACACCTTTCTCAAAGCAAAGTTGGACAGTTTGAATAGCAAGCTTTTTCCAAAAAAAAAATGAAGCAAGAAAGCAATCTTACAGGTGTAATGTTAAAATCTTGAAGGGCAGGTTCCTGAAATGAATGCCTGGGATGCAGGTTTGCTGCTTCACTCAGTTGTTCCTGTTCTGACCCTGAGGTACCAGGGATGTGGCTTCTGGACTCATGCCATCATTTCACTTGGAGCTGTGTAAGCTTCCACTCAGTACACAGTTCTGTTCGTCTTTTCACCTTTTATTTTGCCTTTAGCTACAGAAAGGAAGCTTGTATTTTTTTAGATACTGCTCCTCATCCCATTTCATTTCCTGTGCACGGATTGAATAGTGTATTACCAACTGTGCACTCCTCTGGAAAACCAGCAGTTTTTTTTCTTTTTCCCCAGTGTTCAGTGTTCACTTTGTTCCAAGTACTCATTCCAGCTGAGAAGAGAGCCTTGTCTTCAAGCATTCACATGGTCACATGCAGCTCAGAATTAGTATGCTCACCACTTCACAATACCAACCCCCTTCTTTGTGTACTGTTGGCACTCCTGAAGCTTTCTGGTCCAGAAATCTTAGAATCCTAGAATGGCCTGGGTTGCAAAGGCCCACAGTGCTCATCCAGTTCCAACCCCCTGCTGTGTGCAGGTCGCCAACCAGCAGCCCAGGCTGCCCAGAGCCACATCCAGCCTGGCCTTGAATGCCTGCAGGGATGGGGCATCCACAGCCTCCTTGGGCAACCTGTTCCAGTGCCTCACCACCCTCTGGCTGAATCTTGAAAGGACTGAATGAAACTTTGCTATGCCCTGTGAAGTGAATTGAACAATACAGTGAGTTTGCCCTAGAGAAGAATAAAAGCTGTTATCCACATGACAGCGCTTAAAAATACTTTGCTGTTAATTATGTTCTAATTCAAAGGACTTTCCCCACATCTGGAATGTAGCCATTGCTTTAAAGCTTCTGACAACTCTTTTAACATCTTAAACATCTTACCATCAGTGAGGGATGTTCAAGTGGGTAAGCGTTGAAGGAAGAAAAGGAGAAGCTTTGTTGTGTTGGCTTTCACCTTAGATAGCAGTCAGCTGCTCCAGATGCAGCTGGATTGCTCAGCGAAGCGCTATGGGATCCTGGCAGGTAACCCCCTCTCTGATTGCAGGTATCATTTTCTCCTGCAGCACGGTAGCAGAATATCCCAAAGGTGCCTCTTGCTTGTGATGTGCAACGTGATAGCAGCCAGACATCAATAATTCAGCAAGCATCTCAGGCAGCCTGGGCTCAGAGCTCAGGATGGAGGGTGTTTGAAGCCCACGGATTCAGCTGTGGCATTTGTGTGAGCTGGGCGTGATGCTGTGCAGCTCCTCATCTATGCTGAGGGCCCTGAGTAAAACAGGATCCCTGTTCAAATATTGCACAGAGGCCAGTTTACTGCTTTTCTTTATCTTTTGATGCATGCGTGCTACCTCGAAATGAACAACTTCACGCTGATTCTGGTCTTGGTGGTGCAAGACTTTGCTTCACACCCACGCCGCTGTAGCTTCGGATTTCTTTAATAATAAATGCTTCTGGCAGAGATTGGAAAGCCTAATTGACACATTGTGAATTCAGCATTGTCACCTTTGTTATATTGTTAAGTGCTTATTTTACTGGTCTTCAGTGTGCTTACCGCCAGCCTAATTGTAATTCTGTAAATTATTGATGTGCGTCGTGGCAGAAAGTGCCTTTTGTACAGGCTGAATATTATTTCCACCCATCTTAGAAAGACCTTTAAAGATGTCATTCAGAGAGTGCAGCAGTCTCAGAAGATCACTTGATGTTTATGGGATGCTTCCGCCACAGCTGAAGTGCAGGGAGGGCAGAGGGTCCTGCATTCCTCACCAGCTGAGGGCAGAGGGAATGAAGGCTCTGGGACACAGTGGCTGCAGGCTTGGTGTTGGAGGAGCCTGGCAGGCTGTGTCATGCAGCCGACCTAGAGCATGGCTCCGCTCTGAAGTGGTTTGGTGGCCTGCTGTTACACATGTATTAATATCAAGGGATTCATATCTGTGAACCTTGGAACTTGTATTCGTTCTTACAACAGGTTTCATCCCTCTGATACAAGGTCTGGCAAAGAAACGTGCTGCTTTCAGCAATAAAAGGAAGTTGTTTCTTGTCTTTCAAAAGGAGGGGGTTTGAAGCAGGAAATCTTTAACTGAGACTGCTTGAGCACTGTCTCTGCTTATTCTGTTGAACCTAATAGGGAACTGCCTGCCAGCGCTTTCATGGCTTGATTAATTCATTTGATTGTCAACTTTATAAAGTGGTTACTGGATCTGCTTTCTGTGCAGTCTTGAATGCTGTGACTTGGATACGAATGGCTTAGGCTCAGCTTCTCAACCAAAAAGGGGATACTGAGGGAGATGTTGAGCTGTGGGCAGGTCTGTGCTTCCTTTTTATGTAAAATGACTAATAGATGAAGCCATTCCTGCCTGTTCACCCCATGAAATCTCATTCTGGCCTCTCATCTGTTGTAGTGACACTCTACTGGCACCCATCCATCAGGATATATGACAGCTTTGTATTCGGGAGGGTCAGCAGCCTCTCACCGTTGTGTGCTGCCATGTTCTGCTGGTTCATGTGAAGCAAACTCCTTCTCATTGCTTTTATCATAGCATCATAGAATGACCTTTGTAGAAAAGGACCACAATGCTCATCTAGTTAAAACCCCCCGCTGTGTGCAGGGCTGCCAACCATCAGACCAGGCTGCCCAGAGATTTATCAATCCATCCTTGAGCCACAGGTTTTTGTTGGCTGTTAAGGACCTTATCCTACCTCCAGCAGGCCCAAGCACTTTCTTATTGCCTGCTTGTTGAACAGGTTTATACTTCTGAAGTTCTCCTGGCACTTGGAGTGAGCTGCTGACAAAACTGTCCCACAGATCTCTTTCAGATTCTTTTCCCATGAAGCCTACAAAAACATTCCTGCTGTTCAAGCTGCAGGATTGCAAAGGTCGGGTTTCC